AACCAGTGACGTAATGTTACATACATAAAAAGATCTTCCAGAAATGCAAAAAAGATTGTTTAAAATGCATTTAAGGTGGAAATCTTAATCACACCTCTTCTAGAATTAGACTGACCTAGGAAATGTATCAGAGAACTAAATTCTAAAATCAATAAACCTGAATACTAAAACCAGTAAACCTGATGAAAGAGAGTCATAGAACTTAAAAAAAAAACATTTTTTTTTCACGTTTATTTCTTTTTGAGAGAGAGAAACAGAGCACAAGCAGGGGAGAGGCAGAGAGAGAGAGGGAGACACAGAATCCGAAGCAGGTTCCAGGCTCTGAGCTGCCAGCACAGAGCCCAAGAGGGGGCTCGAACTCACAGATCACAAGATCATGACCTGAGCCCAAGTCAGATGCTTAACTGACTGAGCCACCCAGGCACCCCCGCATAGAACTTTTATTTATTTATGTACATACTTATTTATAGCATAGAACCTTTTAATTCTAAGTAGAAAATATACATATTTTAACACCCATGAAATGTGTAATCATTGATTATGTACTTGCCAAAGAAGAAAATCTTAACTAAAACATACCGAATCTAATTCTCTGGTCACCACAAAACTGGAAAGTAATACAAACATGACCACCATCACGCTGTGCACTTGAACTTACCCAGTGATGTATGTCAATTATCTCTCAATAAAACTGAAGAAAGAAATGGATTGAAAAGCTTAAGTATTTGAAAAAATGACATCCAATCCCGGATAACTCTTAGATCAAAGAAAAAAATGACAACATATGTAAAAAGCAATGAAAAAGAGAACACTTTATACCAAAAACTATGGAACGAGTTGTATTTAGAGGCAAATTTATAGCCTTAAAATGTCTTCATCAAAAATGAAATAAAAATGAAAGAACTTAAAAAAACAAAGGCTCAGACTAATATTAAGAAATGGGAAAAGGGGCGCCTGGGTGGCGCAGTCGGTTAAGCGTCCGACTTCAGCCAGGTCACGATCTCG